GATTAAAAAATTATAATGATAAAGACTAATATAACCCTGCAATATATTTAAATTATAAAAATACTATGATTTTTGCCACAAAACGACGTCGTTTTGGGCTCACTGGAGATAAATTATCTCCATTGACTGGAGAAATCCTTTATCCGTAAATATATATTTCACGAGCAAAGATTGGGGCTTTTTGACCCTTTTACGTTTTATTAATTAATTAATAATCATTTTGCCCCTTATTCAAAACTATCTACTAATTTGTCCTTCTTTAATCGATTAACTTGAAGATTTAATCGATTAAATGCTCAAAACTGGCAAAAATAGTTGACTTGAAGATTTAATCAATTAAATAATCAAGTTAATCGATTAAATCTCCCAACAGGCAAAAAAAGTCAAATCTCTTCCATAAACAAAAGCAGATTCCATGCAACAAAGGTCAAATCTTCAAGTTAAATGATTCTTGGAAACTGGATTGATTTACATGAACAGGCCTGACTCCATTTCTACCTCTCACATGAAAACCTTGCTTATTACATGAAAAATGGCGCGAATTGATCCTATTGTCAACCTCGAAACGATGATAGCGATCGAGGCGAACAACGAATTCTTGTCTTGCATATTCATCATAAAAATACTTAGCAGAATCTTCAATCAGTTTTCCGTGTATTGGAGGTTATTTGAATTTTGAATTTTGAATTTTGAATTTAATGTAATAAGAGTTGATTGCGATTTGTATTTAATAGGAGCTGATTGCGTTTTGTATTTAATAAGACGCAATCAGCTCCTATTAAATACAAATCGCAATCAACTTCTATTACATTAAATTCAAAATTCAAATAACCTTTAATACTGTGTTTGTCTCATTCAATCAATGCTTTCATGCTAATTTGGGATATTTAATCGATTAAATATAAGTTTTAATCGGTTAAATCAATTAAGAGAGATATTTAATCGATTAACTAAAAAATTTAATAGATTAAATCTTCAAGTCAACTATTTTTGTCAGTTTTGACCATTTAATTGATTAAATCTTCAAGTTAATCGATTAAAGAGGAGCAGATTGATAGATAATTTTGAATAAGGGGCAAAATAATTATTAATTAATTAATGAATGGAAAAAGGGTCAAAAAGCCACATCTTATTTTACATATTCAAATCATGATTTTGTAATCTTACACAAATATAATGTGATGTGTTTCATGCTTATATACACCAAGATATTACTCGATTTTTTTTACTAAAAAACGACTGAGATTCAAGAAAAAAAAAATTGGCATTATAGGGGTTCGTTAGGGTATGCAATTTTTGACTCTAAATAGAAAGGACTTGTGTTAATTTTATATTTCAAAGTCAGAATAAGAAGACGAAGGATTTGGATCCTCTCATATTTAAAAGTAATTATGTGATCATGTTATTTGATCACAATCACTTATTGATGAAGATATGAGAGAAAAAAGTATATAATTTTTTAATAAATGATAGTAATCAAATAAGATGACAATCTGACCACTTTTAAACATGAAAAAATCTAAATCCATAACATATGAGAGCATTTTTATTGTTGTCGTCACATTTAGTAATGGATGTTATTATCATGCAAAATGAGTTATTTGTATCATGAATAAATTACAGACTACAATATTTTTTCCCCCACTTTTCAAACGCTAGCGCTGACATGACAATATGTTAATATTAATATCTTGTTTCTATATAAAATGATGTATCAAGTAATAGTGCGACGAGAGCACTTAAAAGATATTCACATAGATGGAGCAGTTGGTCTATGTTTTGTAACTTATCCTCTCAGTCAAGGAAGTATTGCGTATAGGCATGACTTGGTCATTTTAATAAACCGTTAGAGGGTCCATGTATGTATACTATTCCCTGGTCCAATGGTTTACTGTGGAATTTGGTGCAGTCAATATTATTATTCTTATATAATAATAATATTGTGACAATAGACTCCTCCTAGTTCTGTAGTCAAATTTTTGACTGAATTCGTTAAACGATTGTTTGCTTGCTTTTATGTCAAGTGTATAGAAATGCATATGTTCTATTAATTTCCATCATTTGCTCTTAACAAACATGCGTGCATGTTTTAAGTATTGTCAAGTATTTGGCAAATGTGTTATTATTGCCATGTTGTAGGAAAAAAAATGAGATTCAATATAATGTCATTTTTTATTTATTAATAATGTTACATATATAAAAAGTTGAGTAAATAAAAAATTACACGTTTGTTTGTAATACACTAATACTTACTCACGCCCCCTTTTTTTTTTTTTATTACAAAATGATGTTATCTAATGATTATATAAAAAAATTATTTTCTAATTTTAATTGTGTTTCCAAATTTATGAAGACTTGCATAATTTAAGTTCAGATACGCTTAAAAAAAAAAACTTGCATCACTTGTACTCAAATTTTATTATTTGTGTAATTTAATAATATTTTACATCACTTCTAATTAAAGTAATTTATTTTAAAAAATAATTTCTTTTTGTATTTTTTATAGATTTTTAAAAACAATATTATTTTCCATAATTTAAGTAATCAATTTTAAAAATAAAACGTTATTCCAATTCTATAAAAAAAAATTATGCATATAGTCATATACCAAAAGGATAAATAAATATTCGAGTATATTCTACGTTAAAACGTAAAAGTCATTCACTTTTGAGACAAATTAACAATAGACAATTCCACATTGTTATTAAATTTTGCTAATCATGTAACAACTTCTAACTTGTCCTAACTTATTTTGTCAATGAAATCTTATAATCCACGTGAAATATAAATTTAATCGTTAAAAGAAATGTATTTTTATCCTTATATATTTGTGTGTTTAAAATTGGTTTTGATCCCTCTACAGTTTATATTTTTGAATTGTGTCTATTATTGTTTTTTTTTTTTTAGTATTAACTATGGAGGTATCCCCATTCAACCTCCTCCGGTCACCTTGTCCTCGGGGTACGGCCCTGAAGACTAGCCCATCAACCTCTTCCGGTCACCTTGTTCTCGGGGTACGGCCCTGAAGACTAGCCCCTCATTGAAACAACAGGTGCATTGAGCTTCGCTACCGGAGGAAGGATGAGACTAATCCCCCATTCGAGAAAAGAGACATGTCTTCTGGACTCCAAATTTTTTCCAAGAATTTGCTTAAAGCAGGATTTAAATCCTTGACTCAAACAAACTTTTGAAAGCTCAGTTGTCAACTGAGCTACCTTGGAGATTGTGTCTATTGTTGTTTTAAAGTGAACACTTTTGGTCTTTACTGTTATTATAAATATGTTAAATCCTAATTAACATAAATTATTAGATTAATCTGAATACAAAGAGTAAAATACAGTTTTACCCCCTCATTTGATGGTTTTAATTATTTAAATTTTCTCTGAAATTTAATTATTTAATAAGCATGATTTTCCCCCCAAAAAAATATTATTGTCTCTTACTAATAAGGTGACGGATTTTGATATCAGATCTGTCATGTCAATTTACTTATTAAGATACAAGAATGATACCTTAACAATGTAGGATGGTGTCTATCTTTGCTAGACATCTTAAATCAAGAAAATGGCTTATCTTATATAACAATAAGTCATATCGATATCCTACTTCTTTCCATATATAGTTACAGCAGATCTACTATCAATAGATATATTCGAGGGAAGTAAGATATCCTAAATACAAATTTAGAATCACTAATAAAAGAAACGAAAGCTCCAGAGTTATAGGCCAAAGCTAAATTTATGGGATTTGGATTAGAAGTGATTATGTATTTGATCACAATTATTTATTTAAAAATCATATAATTTTCTTTCTCTTATCTTATTATTAATTAATGACTGCGATCAAATAACATAACCATTAATAATATGATCACTTTTAGACATGAAAGCAAAAATTATAATTGTAGTGGTATAGTGAGAAACAAACCGTGAGAGGATAAAAAACAAAGATCCCTGAACAATAACATGCTAGTGATTATTTTCAAAGTTGAGACGAGCTTGAAACAGCTATATAAGCCGAAAGCGGGGAAAATAAAATAAATTAAAGGCGGAACAACGGAAAGGAAGAGGAAAAAAATAAAACAATTAGTTGACTAAAATGTCCAGTTAAAAAAGTGATTAGGCCAAACCCTTCAAACAACAACACGCACTGTCTTCTTTTTCTTTTCTTTTTTTCTTTAAGTAAACTCCTAATTTGTCTGACTGTAGACATTTTATTTTCTTAAAATATAAAACCCTTCTATGTTATTTAAGAGTTACAAATCTTGATTATATTAATCCTTAAACATTAAACATATTAATTTTTTTTTTTTAAAAGACTGAAGACATATTTCTTTGTTTTTACTTTTTACTAAGAAAAAACTACTTTTTAATTAAAAGTTGTATTAAAAAATTATAATAATTAAATTTGTTGAAAATTAAAAATTCGCATACATAGCATAATTTTTTTTGTTGTTTTAAGGAAATATGTTTGTCTTATTTAAAGAATATAAATTTGTGTTATTTTAGATTTTAATTGTTGATTTTTATTAATTCATGATTAGTATTTATTATGACAAATTTATTAATTAATTATTATTTTACAATAAAATGTAATAAATTTTAATCATTAATTAACAGAAATCAATGATTAAAATTAAAAATAACATAAAATTATATCCGTTAAAAGATAATTTTTTTCCCCTTTTTTTATTAATGTTTGAACTTTGAATTATACAGAAGCTTCTTCGTAAATGGAGGGCTTGGTGGGGACAACACAGTTGTGCAAGCGTGCGTCTTTGACCCAACTTTCTTAGTTTTTACTGCTTTAAAAACCAAAACCTCTCTCTCACTCTCTCTCCTCTCTCTTCATTTTCATATGAATTTCACTTTCTGATCACAGTTCATAATTCATATTCATATAAATAAAACAAAGGAAAAACCCCAATAATATAATTAAAAAGAAAAGAAAAAATAATTAAAATAGAAGGAGAAAATTCTCAACAAAGGATGCGACAATCGTTGACCTGGCTTTCTGTTCTCCCCCATACTTCTCTCAAAACTGTTCCCTGCATTTTCAGCTAAAACTGGCCACACCCATTTGAGATTTTAGCTCCAGATTCCAAGCCAAGAACAGAAAGAGGAAAAAAGAACAGAACTTGGAGCCACCCAGAATTCGATTTTGGTATATCATTCAAGTTCACAGTGATTTTCAGTTGGTCAACAAGGTCAAGATGCTTCTGAGCTTGATGGCTAACGTGGAGATCAATTAGTATCAAGAGGGGTCTGTGTATTAGGGAATCAATTGCTTATGATGCTTGGTGTAGTATTGTAGTTGAAGAAAGCCATGGTTCGAGTGACTTCATTTTTTATGGGTTCCTTTCTTGTTTGGGCAATTTTGGTGCTTGATTTGGTGCGTAAGGCTTCTGGCAATGCGGAAGGTGAGTGGTTACCTTCTGTGCTTACTTTCTGGGGTTTTAATTGTTCCATTTATATCTGTTCTCATTAAACAGGTGCTTTAAATGACCAGGGTTAGGAAAATTCACTCAATTATGTTTTTATTTTTTATTTTTTTGTCCTTTTTTGATCTACTAGGTTGCCCTTCAGCTTTATTGTTATTGGGTTATGAGTTTGATTGGCAAATAGAACGATTTTAATGATAGACTTGGAGTAGCTTTTGTAATATTTCAGTGAAGCCAGTGCTTCCTCTAGCTGTAATATTTTTATTAGGAGATTATGATCATTGAATTAAAGGGTTTTAATGTGATGGTGCTCTATATCATTAGCTTGGGATGTTTGTTAATTGTAAAGTGGCTAAAGTCAAATCCTAAGCTTAGGGAGGTCACCAGAGTTGTTGATTGTAATACTTTGTGAGACAACCATGGCCTGGGCGTGACTGTTTATAGGACTTCATTATCTCGTAATGGCTTGTCAAAATGCTTTTATTCTAGTAAAAAATGTTTCTTTCCACTTGCTTTTATTTTTTATTAAGTTGGCCTAATGTTTAGGAGTTTGATACTAAGGCTGATAAATGGAAGTTTGGCTTCATTTTTCTATTCCTGAACCCCAGACTATTTCACATTACGCTATCAATGTTGACACTTATTTGATCTCCTCCTCCGGACAATTTAATATTGAGTTTGTCTGCACCTGGTTCTTGCTTCTTTCTGACACAGGTGATGCCCTGAATGCATTGAAGAGTAACTTGCTTGATCCTAACAATGTTCTTCAAAGCTGGGATGCAACCCTTGTCAATCCATGCACATGGTTTCACGTTACATGCAACAGTGATAATAGTGTGACCCGTGTGTAAGTTAATATGTGATTTTTACCTGTAGTTTTATAATCGTTTGTCCACAGAGTAAATTATTTATTTGTGTTTGGTCAGTGATCTTGGAAATGCTGACCTTTCTGGTCAACTGGTTCCACAGCTTGGTCAGCTCTCAAATTTGCAGTACTTGTAAGTTGTGAATCTGATATTATATTGTTGAGTAAATTTGACTCTTTCTGAGCAGATTATGTCTTATTTATTGGTTGATACTCTTGTAAGTCCTTTACATCAAGCGGAAATGTGCTTAATTTTGTAAATTAGGGGAATAAGGAAAATCAACTAATAAGACAGGGTGTCATATTGCAATTGACCCCTGAATTTATCTACGTAGTTATACATAATTGGTTTATAAGTCTAGTGATCCACATATAGTATTGAGTCAAAACTTTTCCCAATTGCATTGTGCTTTTATTTGCTTTCTCAATCATAGTATCAAAATTCAAAGGCCTTTTGCCCCACCTCTATTGATTGTAGAAAGTCTCTGATACGAATCTTTGGAGAACCTCAACTTGAAAGCTAACTCATAAGGTAGGAGAGCCCAAAGTTTATATAAATGCCACACCAAAACCTTATTTTCTGATATGGGACTCCAAGTCCCATTCCTTGCAATCGGATCGTAACATCCCACCACGCTTCGCAGCCCCGACGTGCTAGTCTTTTGCTAGCCCCGGCGAACACTGCAATACTGGCATCACTAGTCGTGCCGTTCAATTGCAACTGGGAGATATAGTGGAAGACTCTGATACCAATTGATATGAACCTTGGGAAAAGCTCACCCCAAAAACTAGCTTATAAGGTAGGAGAGCCCAAAGTCTATATAAACCCCACACCAAAACCTTATTTTTCCAATGTGGGACTCCATGTCCCATACCTTGCTATTGGATCATAACAGTCTCAGTCTATAAGCAAGGACTTTCCTAGTCCTACATCTTTTATTGTTCAAGACCGCAACCTTTGGCATTATTCTAAGCTTGACTTGAACCAGCTGGTTTTTTAGAGATAGTTGTATAAATTGCTGAAGCAAAGGTTATAAATCTTATATTATACATAGGCATCAATATCTATTTGTCTGGTTTCATTCTCAACAAATCAATTACATACCATTATGCGAATGTAATCTGTCACCTTTTAATCATTTGTTGGACATTTTTGCTTGCACAAATCTGATTTTTTTCCCCTCTTTCAATGACAGAGAACTTTATAGTAACAATATAAGTGGAAAAGTCCCTGATGAGCTTGGAAATTTAACCAACTTGGTGAGCTTGGATCTTTACTTGAACAGGTTAACTGGTTCCATTCCGAATACATTGGGCAAGCTTGGAAAACTACGTTTCCTGTATGATATGCTTTCCTTATTCTCATATCTTTGATCTGGAAAACTTATTTCACTTGGTTTAAGTTTTTTTTCTTCATTTATCTTTACAATATCCATATTTTTTGCTTCCCCATGCAAAATGGTGGTAGATTATGTATCCTATAACATGACTGTTTCGGTTCCAATGGTTCCTACAATATACATGACTACATGCGTATAGAAATGTATCTTCCTATTTTACTATTGCTACTAGCCTACTACTGCTATTGTTATTATTACTTGATGCAATAGTGTGAGTATATGCACAATCACATGAAAGACATAAGGCTGTTCTAGTTGAAAGAAAGACTTAAGGCTATTGACCAGGTTGGCAGAGTTGGGCCATAAGTTTTGGTAACAGATTTTTTGGAGGCTACTAATACCACAAGTTTTCCCCCTTTAATCAGGTTTACATTGATCAATTCATACTCTGTGTATCAAGGATGCAACAAATTCAATGTAATAATTGTTTATTTATATCCACACCGATGGACTGAGCGGGTGGTGAGTGGTGATGGTCAAGATGTACCATTACCTCCCTGGCTGCTTGAAAGTTTCTTCAAGTCCCTGATGTGACTGATCTGTGATGTAGCAAGATTTATTATAACCACATCCACATGAGCTACTTTTTTTTTTTTATATTAAGTAATCTTGGTTAGCTATGATAATCCTATGCTCTTCCACAGTTCAAATAATTAAGGCTATGAGCCAGATAGTATTTTATTTCGGTTCATTGACTGCCAACTCCAACTAGTTTGGGATAAAGGTGATGTTGATTTTAATGTGCCTCATGGTATTTTGAAGGAGTGAGGTGTTTGTTAACCGATTAATTATGGGAAAGATATATATATATATATTTTTAAAGCTCTCCCAGGAAGCTGTAAAAAAAAGTGATTATTTTTCCAAAAGAAGCTACTTGAAGTTTGGGTGATTGTGTATCAAATCTGATCACACAAGGTTTTTCTATATATAATAGTGAGAGAATCATTACAAAAGATTTTTTCTTTATGTACATGATCCTCTAAATCTAATTAATTATAATGATTATATACATGATTTCCTATGATTTAGATATCTGATAATAATCCTACAGATATCCTAAGATATTCTAACAAAGCTAATTTAAACACTCACTGAAGATCAATTGTTTGCACGGTCTTTTCCCTGCTAATTTATGTGTCTGTTGGGGGGAGGAAAATTTGCGCTACCTTATATGTAAAATTTCCTAACCTGATCATCTAATTCATTCATGTACCTGAAACTAAGAGTTAAGCTTTGAATGTATCAGTTTTTCCTGGAGTTAGACATACTTTTCATTTTTGACCAATCCACTTTGCAGAGTAGAACTTTTGTTATCCACCCTGGTATGCTAATTTAAGGTAGCAACTCAGCTGTTATAACCCACACAGATACACATATACTGTTTAATAATTGTTTGCCAATCATTTGTTATTACTCTACTCTATTCGTACCTTATTCCTGCAAACTAATTCATTCTGCTCTCAAAATAGGCGTCTCAATAATAACAGCTTGTCAGGAGGTATTCCCATGACTCTAACAACTGTTGCTACACTACAAGTTCTGTAAGTGTTTCTCATATATTTAGATTTTCCATGAGTTAATGGCAAAGTAGATTCCTATTTATATTAGTGTCATATATTTGAGTGTAACTTGACACCACGGTCATTGTGGAATTCAGTGATCTCTCAAACAACCAGCTAAAAGGGGATATCCCAGTGAATGGCTCATTTTCATTATTTACCCCCATCAGGTTGGTGCAGATAATTATGTTTTTATCTGTTGCTATTGTTGAGGGATTTCCTGAAAATTTTGCTAATACCCCGTGGTCCGCTTTACAGTTATCAAAATAATCCTGACTTGATACAACCAAAAAACAATCCAGGAACACTTTCTCCACCGCCATCAGCTTCTTCAGGTTCGTTAATGTCTGTTTATGATTGAACATGATTTTAAATTGTCAAGGAATAAATTGACCTAAAAGCTTCAATTTAGAATATAACTATAGCGGGCTCATAGCTATCTCAAATTGAATCTGAACTCATATTTGTTGTGATATTTTAATTATAAGACTGGGGGCAACATCAACCGAACTCTTCACCGCTAGGTCAACTAGATCTTGATACCATGTTGAATAATGGCTTGACTTAAATTGTCAAGCTGCTAAGAAAAAGTCCAAGAATGGTTTATTTTTTTATAACATAAAATTAATGCTATGTGAAGCAGGTATGCCTCCAACCTTTCCTTTAACTACCAATAATTCATTTACCCCTTTCCCCCAAAGGATAAGGAGAAAGGTAAAAGTTGATAACAGATCGGTTTTTCCAAATGTTTTTGTAATTATGGAAAAGGGAGGAATGATTTTTGAACAGTGATATCTGAAAACAGACGCAGCTTAAGCCTAGCTTCTTTAAGTCATTTGCATATCCCTCATGCCTAAATGTATCACTTCTCGAGGTTGGTGTGCCTCATGGTTAAATTTAAGAGAGGGAGATATAATTATGTGGAACCTTGGGATTCTTATTCTATTCAATCACAATCAAATTCTTTGAATATAGTTATAATTTCTTATTTGAACTATTAATCCTTTTTACAGGTAACAGTAATACTGGAGCTATTGCTGGAGGAGTTGCTGCTGGTGCTGCTCTGTTGTTTGCAGCCCCTGCAATTGCACTTGCTTATTGGCGAAGAAGGAAACCTCAGGATCATTTCTTTGATGTTCCTGGTTAGTTGAATAACAGAAAAGATGGTATACATACTGATAAATGCTGTATATTATAGCTATTACAGATTTACCAACAATTTGTCTGTCTTTTACTGGCAGCTGAGGAGGATCCTGAAGTTCACCTTGGTCAGCTTAAAAGGTTTTCTCTGCGTGAGCTGCAAGTTGCAACAGATAACTTTAGTAACAAACACATTCTGGGTAGAGGTGGATTTGGAAAAGTTTATAAAGGACGCTTAGCCGATGGCACTCTTGTAGCAGTAAAAAGACTTAAAGAGGAGCGTACACAGGGTGGGGAGCTGCAATTTCAAACAGAAGTGGAAATGATTAGCATGGCCGTGCATCGTAATTTGCTTCGGCTTAAAGGTTTTTGCATGACACCTACTGAACGTTTGCTTGTGTATCCTTTCATGGTTAACGGAAGTGTAGCATCTTGTTTACGAGGTACTCTTATTAGCTCTGTATTTGAATTACTTTTATTCATGATTTACTTGCCTTTCTCATGTATAAAGCTTTTCTTTCGTATGTCCTTTTCTGTTAGAAATGTTGAAGAGTTAGTCTTCAATGTCAATTTTTTTCTGGTTTATTTTGATTTATTATTGAAGAAAATAACAATTATGTGTTTCATAGATGTTATCTGGCAGCAACATGAACACAAAAATATGGAATTTTCTAAATAGCTCAAAATTTCAAATGCTAACTGTAAAAATTCAAAGCTTCCAACTTTATATTAAAACTTTTTTATGTATATTGATTGTGTTGTTGTAGAACGCCAAGAATCTGAAGCGCCGCTTGACTGGCCAATCCGGAGGCGCATTGCGCTAGGAGCTGCAAGGGGACTTGCTTATTTGCATGATCATTGTGACCCTAAAATTATTCATCGTGATGTCAAAGCTGCAAATATATTATTGGACGAGGAATTTGAAGCAGTTGTTGGAGATTTTGGTTTAGCAAAACTTATGGATTACAAAGATACTCATGTTACTACTGCAGTACGTGGTACGATTGGGCATATAGCACCAGAGTACCTCTCAACAGGAAAGTCTTCAGAGAAGACTGATGTTTTTGGATACGGTGTGATGCTTCTTGAACTAATAACTGGACAGAGGGCTTTTGATCTAGCACGACTTGCCAATGATGATGATGTGATGTTGCTTGATTGGGTAGGTATTCAGTTTTCTATAAATATTTCATTATTAGTTGAACAATTTTTGCTAACACTAGTATGTATTAATCTCTTCACATGGTTTCTTACGCTCAAGAAATTCTTTAGGGTACGTGTTCCGAATGTGTGCATTGGGCCTAATTTAGGTTCCAATCCCTCATCCCATTACATGTCAAAATATCCCTATCACTCAATATTTGCCTGACTCCCTCACAATGCGTATCCCATGATGGTGATACACAGCACCCTCGTGGCTGGTGTGGGGTCCAAGGCAATAACAGTTCTGGTTCTGGCACCAAATGCATGACACTCTTCAGAATATTCGAAACAATATAAAGCTTACACACACAACAAAGCTTACACACACAACAGAGGAAGGACCTGGAAGGACCTTTGGGCATTTACTTCCAGCACTCTTGCATACTCTCTGAGCTCTCATCTTCTTCCTCTTGCCAGAGCCTAGCCCAACACAACTCCCCCATTGTTCTGCCGTATCTCATGGTGGTTTGTACCATTCTGCATCCAGACCGACATGATTGATGCCTGGTCTTCCATACCGGAGACTCCATCTTGGTTCATAGAGTAATTCCATCTTCCCACTTTAGTTTGAACATCCTCTCTCACTCCCACTCTAGTACAATACCAATATCCCTCACTGAATATTAAATGTTTGTTTCTATACATGTTTTTCAAAGTCCCTTCTTTGACTACCAAAACTTCGTCTCACACTGAAAAAGTGCTGTTTTTTTTCAATTATCTGTCTGATGCATTTGTCATTTGTCTGGTAAGTATTGCAATGTAGAGGAAGAACAAAGGGGGAAAAAACATATTCGCAAAGGAAACAAAATATTATTCCATTGTCATTACTTTGTCGTTTCTTGGGTTCTTGTAGAGGTGTAATTGATAATCTCATTGCACGTTGAGGATTTCTTATTTATTTCTCCAACACATTCCTAGCCGAAGTTTTTTAACCTCATTTTGTTGCCTACTGTGATTATTTATTGATATAGAACTAACACTTCCTTCAAAATTATAATGCAACAAATTGATTTGGTTTTTCCTATTTCTGTCACAAATTCCAGAATCTCTTTTTCCTGGTTGTTCTAGGTCATTGTTGTATTGCATAGGCCGTATGTAATATTAACACCAATGACTAATCATTGTTGGCAACTGGCATTGTTTTTGAGTCCAGGTTAAAGGACTTCTCAAAGACAAGAAGTTGGAAACATTGGTAGATGCAGATTTACACGGAAATTATGAAGATGAGGAGGTAGAGCAGTTAATCCAAGTGGCCTTACTATGCACGCAAGGCTCCCCTATGGAAAGACCCAAGATGTCTGAGGTGGTCAGAATGCTAGAAGGTGATGGTTTGGCTGAAAAATGGGAACAATGGCAGAAAGAGGAGATGTTCCGGCAAGATTTTAACCACAACATGCATCATCCTAATGCAAATTGGATAGTAGATTCAACTTCACATATCCAGCCAGATGAACTATCAGGTCCTAGATGATACTTTGAACATTCTGCAGATAAGTGAAGACACAATCCTGCCTGACCATGCTTTCTGTTGGGAAGGGATGTACTTCTGATTTGTACATATGATTTTCACCCCCCCTCTACTTTTCCTTTTCTTTTCATCTTTTTGAAATTATCTTTGTATGTTCAGATTACATGCCCATTGATCAGGTTGTGATTATTAAAGAAGGAAGTTTGTAATTTCTATTGGGTTATCAAATTGCAGGATAAAGTTTAGGCCACAAGCAAACATCACTTTTGTCATTGTGTGTAAGAGAAATTAGTATAGAGCTTTATGGAAATAAATGCAATTCTATTATCGTTTTAAGATAAGTATATTTCAGTATTTATTTTCTTGGGATTTGGAAATCTGGAGTGCTTTAATGGGTTGCTATCTTTTGTCTTTAAAGATTGGAATTGCATTGTCTATGGAAATATATATGTCTGGATGGTAATGGAATCGTTTTTTCAATTTGTCTTTGGAATCTGTCATTTTGCCAATAATGGATTATGTTGCACCAAATACTAATTGCCTATTTGATTCAGATTCTGGTGAAGCAAATCATGTTTAGGGCCAAAATTAATTAATCCATCCACAATCTAGAACCTGCTTTGGCAGCGTGGTATTCAAGCTAGAACTTACCATGCATATATACAAAATTTCACTTTGACTAAGGATATATTCATAATTTACATATGATGTTAAATTATGATTTATAAACAAAGTTTGAATGTGTACTTTTTTTATATGTTGGATGCTGCTAAAGAATATGAACGAACCTAAAATCTATTTGGACTTTTTTTTTCAGAAGTTGTAAATCTATGAAATCAGCAATTATGGACTTCAAGAGAAAGAAAGTTTTAAAAAAAATGTTGAGATTGTTAGTTTGCATTCCTATCGTAGACTTAAAAGAGTTCAAAGATTAATTAAAAATAATAATATATTGGGTTTTATTTTATCATTGAATAGTTAAAAAGTAATACCTTAATTCACAATAATAAATCGTATTAAATTAATATTTTCTTTCTAAACAAAAGAGTAAAAACTACACAATAAGCGGCGTGGTCTATGACTTTATCATCAGCAAAAAATGACTCAATTCGTAAAATCAACAATCTTAACCAAATATTTTACCTTCGACTTTTGTAGCATAAGCATTTGTTAAAACTTGTGACTAATCTCGAGTTTGAAATGATACAACTTTTCCTCCCCAAATTTGTTGGGGTTAATGGGAAAAACTTACCCTCAATTTTGTTTAAATAATTATTCTTCTTCTTTTTTTAGGAGAGATGAAACTAACCTCCCAAAAACAGAACAGAGACAAAAACAGCTAAAAACCCTTCTCAAAGAGGAGAAGCTTTTAAGTAAACTGAGAATAATATATGACATCGTGGAATGAAAATAAATTATGCTCACTATCACGCATCAAATAAGGGAGAGAGGCATTTGAGCGCGTTCAACACACATTTATCATCGAATTTATCAACTTGTTAACCAGTTTCCTTCAAGAATCAATTAGTATAAATAAACTTTTAAAAATTCACGCAAAGTAAGTAACATCTTTCAATAACCAAATTATATCCTTACAAATCATTATAATATAATAATGTAAGTATAATGTTGTAGGATATAAGTTATCATGTCACCCCTTTATAATTACGTACTCTGGATAGTATATAATTACAATATTAAAATTATTATTTTTCTCTCGACACTTTTTAGAAACTTGTTGGACGATGTGAAAAAAAAATTAATATTATAATTATATACTTCCCAAAATATATAATTATAAAAAAAATGACATGACACAACTTTCATCTTGCAACATCCATTATAATATCGCCTTAAAAACACTTTTCATTGATTGACATAATATTTTCCGTGCACAATTGATAGTTGAACTTTCAAATCTTTCAGCTACACGGTCTTTCTCATTTTATGTAGGCTTTTACATTTTATAAAATTAAAATATTAGTTTCTTTAAAAACTATTTATCAACTATACATTTTACCCTTTTAAACATAACTACAGTTTAGAAGATCCAAATCCTTTAACTAAAAGCACTGACCCAAATTAGAGAAAAGAGATAACTGTTTGGGTGCGTTACATTAGGATATAATCTACAATTGTACTCCAAGCTTGTAAAAATAGATCGAAAGAATAAAAAATGCCAGAAGGCAACAGCAGATCAACTTGTGTTGCAAGTCGCATTTAGCGTATGCGAAATTTTATGTGACCTATCTGGCAATCACAAAACACGTTCAATATAAATGAATGAGAAGAATAAACATCGCATAGAAATTCTCGCAAACAAAAATGCTGGAAGGGTGAAGCATTTATAAGCCTTATTTAATTGCTATTTTCTAAATTCTACAGTTCAAACTAAGATCAACACTACACCTTAAAGTCATACATGCTACAACCCTCCAATGCCTCGTAGAGCCATGAAAAAACATATTTTCAGATGCTTCACTGTTGAAACTAGCCGTCCTAGCTTATAAAACTGGAAAAATAACAACCATATATACATACACACACATACATACATACATTGGGTGAAAGAGTACGCACAGAAAATTTCACTAAGCATTAGTCGATAATTTCTTCCAAGTATGTACAGCCCATTGAACTTCCATATTTTGATATCAACAAATACCTTGCCTCCATGATATACCAGTATTAGCCAACTATATACATAAAAGTATCCCAGAGCAGCAGCATCTCTATTTTCTACCAGTAGCACCAATGCGCGGTTTGCCCTTAACTTCAGACTCCTGCGTTTGATATAAATATAATTTTGCATGTCATTAACAGATGGTAAAAGGATATTCTTTTAGATATGGGTAACCAAACCAAATACCTGTGGCAAGTGTAGGAAAATGTTGGTCTTTGCTGTTGCGGGATTATAATTTTCTGCCCCTTTACTCCAGTCATAGCAGACCTACAAGCAAGATACCAACAAATTATGAACCACAATAGAAATGAATTGGCCAATAGAAAGTAATATAACAGAAACAGTGAAGAAAATAACAAACGTCCTATGCAATTGTGTGACAATAACAAGATGAATTTACAGCTGGACAAAAAAAAAAAACTATTCCTCTCCCCTCAAACACACATAGTCTAACAATTGCCATGTTTAGGAGATGGAGAGCATAAAGATTAGTTGCACCGGAATTATTAGATTATATAAATTTTCAAATGATAGCATAAGAAACAATTTACAGCTTATGACACAGCTAGTGCCAAGATAATACCACAAGTCAGAACATACAACTTAAATGAGTGACAGAATACAGCATGATTTTGGAGTTATTATGATCCTTGTGATTGATAGGGTTAATTGCTAGTTTATTACTTTCCAGTAAGGCAAGCCAAGATCCTAAGTAGAGTCAATAACATATTAGCCTATTCCTACACGCAATTCATAATTGTTAACATTTACCAAGCACAGGGCAATTTACAGATTCAGAAGGAAAATTCCAAATGATAGCTTTAAGGTAAATAAATTTAAGTTGCTAATGGGTAATCACTATGAAAAAAATCACTCTAAAATAGCAATTTAACCAGAAGATATGTATCCAGAAAATGTTGGAGTAGGACATATTAAGGAGAAGATGACAAAAACTAGCCTAATGTAGTTTGTTATGTGAGAACACTGACAGAGGCTCCAGCAAGAAAAGTGGATCAAATAAAAGATAATCCAATTATAAGGGGTAGAAGAAAGCCCAAGAACACTTTAGGAAAAAAAAAAACTTCAGTTTGTAAAGATACAGCTTATGCATATAATGCTTGGGAAGAAGAAACAACCATGCTTCTTAAAGCAAGTTTATAAACAAAATTGAGATCTTCTCTCTTGAAATTTCTTTATAAAACTACATCATTTCTTGCTTTCCTCTTTACTAACCTATTTTCAAAGTTTCAAACAATTATCTTGCATTTTAGCATCCTCTCACACATAAGCTGTGCTCAAGGGTTTTTTTTTTTTCAAGGTATCCTTATAACTAATTGAAACAAGGGGGACAACAGCAGGAGGAGGAAATCACAATCTCCACGCTAGAGTTAAAAACCATATGCACATGATAGAAAAAGTGTTCCAAAACTTATTCAAAAATGCTGCAAACTAATGTAGAATGAGATGTCGGGTATACTGCATAAGCAAATATTGAACCATCATTGTTGAAGGTACTGCAAGGAATAGGTTGGTTGCATCTTAACATGACCTGAAATAAGAGAAGCTTGCATTAGTTAAGCATTTATTATGCCAAAAACATCACTACAATATGTGTACGTTAGGTATTGAATGAAAGTGTTAATAGAGATGGAACAACCTTAAGCCTCTGTTTACTATCCTTGTCCCAAAAATTAAAAGCACCGTCAGAACCAGCAGTTGCAAATGTGTGGTGTACCTGAAAAAAGTTGAAAAGTAATGTGAGAAATGATAATAGACTAAAATGGATATACTTTGTCAGTGATATCTATGTCCATAATTGCAAAGACTGTTGGGTCGAGAAGTAAACAGAAATTATGGATAAATGAGGAATAGCACCAAAAAAAAATTTGTGCTTGCAACAGAATTTTAGGGGAGCCGACAGATAATAGATACACAGCAATCATATATGCATTTGCCAAAATAGATTTGAAGCATACAGGTCTCTGTGAAATTCCATAACCAAAGAATAATGGATACTGAAGATGTTTAAACCAGAAATGAACTTGACCAAAAATGCCAATACAGTATAACCACAGGCTAAGCATTTGTCATATATGTCAATAGATCAACATATGAATCATTAGTAAAATATAAGTATTTCTATTGCTACATGTCTAAATCAACATTACATAATTTTTTTTTTCATGAACCGAATTATAAAGAAAAGATAACTTTATCTAATTGACCAGATTTAAATTTACATTGTGTCATTGTCAGTATGATATTTCTCATAGCTATTTGTAATCATAGAACTAGGTGTTAAAATGAAAACAATACAATGTGTTAAAAGCATACAACTTCAACTATTAATATGATTCATGACAGTTCACATAAGGAAAACAAAACAATAAAAAGTGAAGAAACAGAAATTGGGGAATAAAAAAGCGGTAATAAAATTGAGCATTAAGAGCATAATTTCATTTAGATAGGTAAATTGCATTTTTAACAATTCGTGATGGCATCGCATGTTATTAATTTTTAAAAAGGAAAACAACATATATTCATTGCAGAATCTCATCATAGTTGTTTTATCATTTTCTTGACCTATTTCCATAAGAATTTGGATTTTTTTAAATCAGCAGTGCAGGAAAGTGCCATATTTTGGTCAAAATTTACAGGGCATCAGCTATCAGCACTACCCTTGATATAGATTAGAAATGGTTCCACAGAAATTAAAGATTTAGAGCATGTCCCAGAGTACTCAGGATATGTAGTTTCTTTCAAGACCAATGTAAAGTCTGCTTCTCCAGAGATATTGACATGAAGAGATTTTCAATATAGCCAATTGACTGTTTAATAGCCTCCGAAACGAACCACTTGGCAATAAAGTTCATCACATTTAGCATGTTATTCAAATTGTTTAACAGAAAAGAGAAAGTAACAGTGTCAATAAATTTCTATTATAAAACTCAAATTGTAAAATTTAAAGGGGTAATATGGGATGACAAAAGCATCCTGCAAGAATAAAGTACATAAGTTTTAAGCTGGAGAGAAGACTGTTCTTACTTCTTAGCTTCTTTTGTTTTTTAAAACAAAAAAGGAAAAATTGGTTTTACAGCTATGTAGTAAACCATAACAAGGAGTAATTTAACATCCACCATTCATAAAGAAAGTACGTGAAAAGATCATGAAATGCAAACATAACAGTGCAACTTCAACAATATAAAGTAAACCAAATTAAATCAGAATGTAAGGCCCAGATGGAACATATATCTTACAGGATGGAAATTTAAAGAGTTAACCGAGTATATTTCATTGCCCTCTCTGTGGCATTTGAATGTGAAGTTTTTACCCTGCTGACTATCATCCAAATGATTCACCCCCACTCTCCCTTCAATAGATCCCACCTACAGCAAGTATAGTGTCAGTTTCAACAGCCCAAATTAATCAATCTAGACTTACAAGTTGATAATTACACAGGAAAGCGAATCTGAAAGCCGAAGAGACATTTTGTATATTATTCTCATAAATCATAGATGTGAGATAGATAAGTAAGGGAAAAAGATGAACATATTATTTTTTGTCAAATGATGGAAAAAAGGACAGAAATGGAGTATAATTCCACTCCTTAGCTGGAATGAATGTAGGGGAAAATGAATTTCATCTTTTCATGATTGCCATCAAACTCAACCACTAAACAATTTCCCAGTTAGATTATATTAAGAAGCTCAGTCTCATAAACAGTACTTGCATTCTATGTAAGGGAGCAGTAGATTTTATGAGACATGATGGATCAGGTAATTACTGACCAGACAGCCAACTTAGGTCAGTTTTAAGGTCAAAGATACAGGATTGAATTGGGCTAAATCACACTCAAACCTGATAGGTTGTCATTCCCATTATTACATCCAATTTTCATATATTTCTTTTTGCCATAAAAATTTAGCCTATTCAAAACAGCAAGAAAATTATCATCAAAAAAGACTAATCACTTGGCCATCTGAAGTAACACAAAACCAGCATTTAAACTATATCTCTCATTTCAAAAATGCTAATACAGATTTTTGAACTCTATACATGTAAAAGTATGACAATAAAAAACTGTCAATACAATGAAAATATCTTAAACAGTAACCCAGCAGGCTAGCAGTTGCATTGGATCAACAGGTTAAGATATCTGATTATCAATAAACTCTTTAATTTGGCTCTGAAGTATATAAATTGTAGGTTTCCATTCATGTTGGTTGTTAAAAGTTACAGGGACTTTTTTTTTGTGGGACTAGAAAGGGGTTTTAACTTCAACTTTGACTTTTCATCTTTGATCCTTTGCTTTCTGACATTTCTAGTTAAAAGATTCTTTACTAACTCGTGCTGTCAATTCCATTTGCTAGAAGAAGTTCTGTTGTGTCTCAATGTCTGTTCCCAATCATAATGAACTCAACCATCAGGTGACAAGATATCATTCCAGTTCCAGCACGTTCAATTTTGGCAGGACAGTCTATTGCTTTGATTCCAGCAAGCACAAGTGAGGTTTCGAAAGAAATTTTACTAATCCACAGAGAGATGAATGCAAGCAGATAAATAAAACCACCCAAATAATTGGTTACAGAAAATAAGTTTTTCCATAGATACTAAATACAAGAACTAATATGAAAGAATTAATATCGCTTTTCACAGATAAAATGAAGATGGTAAATAAGATTCCCCAAATACAGAAAAGGGTCAAAGATCTAAAAGGAGTAGGGAATGATGCATACCAAGAAACCTTGTTGATCAGGGAATGCAGCAAGGCACCTTGTCTGATACTTTAAGGGGGAAACAATTCGCTTGAATTCAACCTGTTGCAAATGACAAGGTTCAAAGCTAGGAGACACTAGCAAAATTGAAAGCATAAAAAGAATAATCAACTGAATGAATAATGTCTGTAAATATATGAACACATTGATCTAATGACATTATGACAATATATTAAATGCCCACAATGGAATATGAAACAGAATGCAAAAGATCAACAAACTTGGATTCAACCAAGTGATAACGAAAAAAAAATATCTGCCAAAAAGTTAAAAGGGTATGATGCTCCCAAGCCCTCCTGGTGTCTAAACCACCACTATATAGTTAAATGGTTATCCTACAATGAATTAAACAGCAGAAGAGATTAAAGAATTGTGTCTTTGGAACAGAATTCTGCATCTAGCATGTCAGTTTATGCCCTATGGTATTATGCATTTATAAATTTTGGAAACATAGATGCACTATATATAAGGAATATATATATATATATATATAAATGTTCTTATAAGCAAGGAGGCAATTGTACTTGGGCTACAAATTATTGAATATGTGACTCGGGTACCTGATACCCCGGTGCAAGTACTTGGGGCTAACCTGTTAAAATGTTCTCCTAATTTGTCAAGAACAATTCCAAATACGAGATGTCTGATAAACCCCGTGAACTAAATGAGTTTTTCTGAATGTTATTATATTTAAATCCTTTGACTATTTCACCATTCCAAAAACTATGTCAAGCGTACTTATATATTTATATGAATATAATTTGGGTTATGTTTATCTCATTTTATATGAGATAAACAACTCTCCTACACACACAAAAAGGGATTGGATCCTGATGTGCCTCTGGCAAGTGTGGTTTTTCAAGTTGAAATTGATAAGAATTGAGTCATAAAAGAGAAATTTAAATACATATTTGCTAATTATATTGATTCTTTCTATGTAAATGATAATTCTCACCTATTGATTGTGTTTATACAGGTAAAAGAAGTGAAAATTACAAAATTATAAAAAGGCTGTTGACGCGACTCCACACAGTACAAATTCCAGATACATGGCGCGGAATGGCGGCACACTGGCGCACACCCGCGCCAATTTACGAACTTTGCAGCGGTGCTTTGCAAGTGGCGCCAACTAGCGCCGAGTTTGCGGAATGTGCAGCGTTGGCCAAAGCATGGCGCAAAGTGGCGCCAAATCATGGCGCAAGGTGGCTCCAAAATGGCGCCACTATAAGAGAATTCTTGTCTGACTTTTACAAATTGACAGAAGCGTGGCGCGAGTTAGCGCCAAACCGGCGCCAACTGGCGCCGGTTTGCGGGAAAGATACACTGTCTTGTCCGAGGGCATTTTTGGAAGAAGGAAAAGAGGCGTATAAATAGGATGCCTTTTACAGAATTAGGGATCGAATCCTATTCTATTGAAGAGAGACGACGACGGTGCTCAGAGAGGGTTCTATTTCATCTTCTTCTTCTTCTTTTAATTTACCAGGTTTATGAATATTGAATATTTAGCCATGATAATGGTTGGCTAGTTCTTTTTATTGTAGTTAGGGTCATAAACCTTATGTGAACCCTTGTTACGACGGATTGGTTTACATTTACTCGTTTATATAAATCATGTTTATTTCTACCCTGTGCGTATTTTATATTTTCTTTATTAGAACTGATCAATCTAATAGTTGATGATAATTTGAGGGTTAGAACTCTAGATAAGAATATTGGGGTTTTGACCTTGAAAGGGGGTAGGATAAATATTTATACATGCTAGGAATAGATGTATATTTAATTGCAGATGCTTAAATTATTGAGTTCATTGCTTAATGCCATGAGGAACATTGCAAGGAATTGGGGTTCCAATTGGGGTTAAAGGGTTAACCTTGCAAGGAATTGAGGGTTACTTATTAAATATTTTTAGATAATAATTTATCTGAGTAATTATATAAATAAGTATTGTAAATCAATCCAAAGTAAGAAGTGAGAATCATTCGGTGAGTGTACTCTAGCTACAATGCGTTCTCATATTTACAAAAATCAATCTCTGTTCTTTTTCTCATAAACAAAATGCCAAAAATAAGTCTTTTCTTTTAAAGTTCTCATTTTTACTCAACCCGACAATATTTATAATGACCCTAAATGGAAAATCTTAATTAGAGATTTAATTTAAGGATTTAAATGCCATAATTAGATTCAGTGAGCGATTTCGAGTATTTTGACTGTAATCATGACTATGTTATGAACAGTGCGTTCTGCCAGAGAATTTACAGTTTTGTGAATTAACCGGTAGAGCTTAAATGAGCAAAATGATTTTAGATACATAATTTGACAATTCTAACGACAAATAGGAGTTCAGAACGAAAAATTGTATAGTCTGGCACTTTCCGTGAAAATCTCGTGAATAGTGTTTCTACCGGGTATTTTGCACTGCTGTTTAAGCAACCGGTAGAGTCCAGAAGCAAATAATTGATGAAATAAGAATAAGAAAGTCCAATATATGCCAAACAAGTCAATATGGGCCCAAGGAAATGATAAGTTAATAAGTTTTAAGTTCAGAAGTAAACGAAGTACAGTTAGTGGTTCACAGTGCATTTCGTCAAAAACGGTGCAGAAACCATACTGGAAATTAAGAATATTGTTCCTTAGGAAATAAAAATTTATGTAAATGAGTTTAGAAAAATAAAAATATGTTTGTAGCTTTAAGTTAGTCTCGGGTCAAAGTAAGTGAAAATACACGAAAGAAAAATATCCGGTTAAAAGCCACGTGTGCTTATAAAACATAAGTGACTTAAGTGATCACTATTCACTCAAAGAAAAACACTCTCTTCTCTCTCCTTGGGGCCGAGCTGCAACAATGGAAAGGGGGCTAGGGTTTTGGTTCTTGTTTCTTTGATTTCTCCTCCAATATACAACCAAATCTTCCACCCATTATACCAACCTCATAGGAAGTCATCCAAAGGAAGCTATTCCACCCCTCCATTTAAGCTGATTTCGTTTGTGGAGGGAGATATTTGTCATCTCATTTTTGTGCACTATTCATCCAAGGTGAAAAAATGGGAGTTTTTGGTGGAGACTTGTTTGGAGGTTATCTCCTTGACCTTGTATAAGCTTTTGGAGGTAATAAACCTCTATTTCTATGATTGTATTTTGATGAGTAGGCTATTAAAATTAGGAGTATGTTTTGGTAGGAAAATATAGTGTTTTAAAATTTGAAATTATGATGAACCTATGATGTCTTGGATATAGTAATGTAAGTTAAGCATTTTATTGTGTTAAAAATAAATTAAAAAAAAATAAAAAAAAAATCCTATGGCACCTCCCTCTTGCCTCGACCTTGTAGGTTTATAGGGGTCATTGGGCAAAACTTTATATGATACATCATGAGGGTTTAAGGTGTAGGAATTAAGTGGAAAAAATTCGATCAATTGGTGAGTGGTGAGAGGGTGAAACAAGTTTACAGTAGAAGGAAAGGGGAAATAAGGCAAGAAAGGCCTAATGTAGAGAATCCAAGTGGGCTTAATGAAGAGAGCCCAGCAAAGTACAATCAAACTGAGAAGGTTGGGCTTGAACAAGATAATCCAAAGTTGCAGGCTACAAGGATTGGGCCGGTCCAGGAGAATCCAGGAATTAATAATGAGAAGCAAAAGGCTGATACTAAGAGTAACACAAGTGTGACTAGGCAGAACGAAATAACTGACACAAAGAAAGATGCAACGCGGATGATAACAAATAGGTGTGCTGGCACGATGAGTTTGTTAGAAGAGAGAGAAGATACAGGTGCGTAAGGGAATATAAGGCATGGAAGGTGTAATAGAAGGTAGGAATGAAGAATCTTATTCAATTCAGTGGTGAATTGGGAGGGGAAGGGTACTGTGGAGTCCCTTAGTTGTTTTCCATTCAGTTTTGTATTTCCTTCAAGGCTATGTTAGCCAATGTTTAGTGTCTCCTGTTAGTGAGAGGACTGTTTCATTACTGTCATTATTTGTTAATTGTCTCTATTTTAATTCATAATCAAATTGAGGTTTCATCAATCTGGTATCAAAGCTTCAGATCCTTGGAGCGTTGAATGGTTCTGACGAGAATGGAGGGAAGAGTTGGAACGGAGAACAACAAGCGTGGAAGGGAGAATGGATGAGATGACAGAATCCATGAGGCAACTCAGGGAAACCGTGTTAGTCTACTTAGATCGGATGGACTTACACGAGGAGAACTCCGGTAACAATAATCGAAACCGAAGCGGTGAAAGCGAAAACAGGGGAAGGCGTAACGGAGGAATAGGGAGAGACGAAGACCGTCTTAGGCGGTTGGAGGTATTTCCGAATTAATCAAATTGCTCCAGAAGAACAAATGGAGGCAGCTTCGATTTGCATGGAAGGAAAGGCGTTGAACTGGTTCCAGTGGTGGGAATCTCGAAATCCTGCTATCGATTGGGAACAACTTCGAACAACAATTCTCCAAAGATTCCACACATCTTTATCTGGTAATCCGTTTGAAACATTGATGTGTTTAAGGCAGGGAGGAACGGTCGCGGAATATCGCGAGAGTTTTGAGATGTTAGCAATACCCTTGCGAGACGCGGATGAAGGAATAATGAGGGCTACATTCCTCAACGGGCTAAAAAAGAAATCCGAGCTGAAATCAGGTTGCATCGCGTGGAGAATATGGAAGAAATGATGTCCTTGGCCCAGAGAATTGAAGAGAGGGAGCTGGTAGTCGGGAGGAAGATGACGAATTGGGGCCGTAATAGCTTCACAGGGAATGGGCCTGGTCCGGGTCATCACTCAAGGGCAGCACTACCCAACCGGTCCAATAATACTAATGGGCCTAATCCAAGAGGGCCCAATTCTAACCAATCGAATAGAAACGAAGGGGTGCAAACGAGAACTAACGAGAGTCCAAACAACTTAGGGCACCAATTTGTAAATGGGGAGAGTCATGGATCCTCATCAGGGACCGTGGCGGCGAACGGCAGCGTTGCCGACCTTAGGAGCACGAACTAACGACGGTTGTCGACGGAAGAAATGGCTGAGCATCAAAGGCGTAACTTGTGTTTC